CGCGGAGCTTCTCCCCCCCACTCCCTTCCCCTTCCCTGCTGGGGTTATCACCCCAAATAACCGGCCTCCTTTGGTCATCCGTCTTTGATGGTGAAGCTTGTAGTAGATTAGAGCCCGGCCTTCGGAAACACAGAATCATTTATTTGATAAATACGTACTGGCCGCCTCTTGTGGGCCAGACCCTGCCTGCCCCCCCCCCCGCCCCCGCCGCCACACATAGGTGAACAAGTAGAGGACAGTCCCTGCCCCTTGGACTGACACTGCTGTGAGGACACGAGCCATAAACACACAGAGAATAAGTGTTATGACCAAGGGAAAAGGAAAAGAGCAGAGAGGGTAAGGGGTAGCGGGGTGATGTTTGAATCCCGGGGTGCCCCTCTGGCTCACTCGATGACCGGGACAGAACCCCTGCACCTCTGAGCTTTGATGTTCCCATTTGGGCGATGAAGACTAAAAGCCCGTCAAGTTACTGTGACAGTTCAGGGACACACACTTAGCTCCGAGTAGGCGCAGAGCAACTACTAAGTACCAGTTAATGATACACACGCTTAGTAGTAGAAGTAGTAAATAGTAGTAGTAAATCTCTCTCTCTTTTTTTTAAAGATTTTATTTATTTATTTGAGAGAGAGACAGCGAGAACAGGAGCACGAGCAGGGGGAGTGGGAGAGGGAGAAGCAGGCTTCCCGCCGAGCAGGGAGCCCCATGCGGGGCTCGATCCCAGGACCCCAGGATCACGTCCTGAGCCGAAGGCAGACGCTTAACGACTGAGCCACGCAGGCGCCCTGATCTCTCTTAAAGACAGCAAGTGTCTGCTGTGTACAGACGGCTCTAGATCCCACAACCTGGGTCTGAATCCTACTGTGCCTCTTCCCAGCTGTGGGCCCTAGCAAGTCGCTTCAGCCTTCTCTCAGCACCTGACAGGGCTGGAACAGGAAGGTTGTGTGGACCCCGGGCCAGGTGGGGTAGTGGCTCAGCGGAGGCCAGGTGCTCTGCAGGCTCGGGGCACCTCCGAGTCACCTTTGCACTTCCCACTGGTCCTTGCATGAGGCCAGGTGTGTAGCAGTCCTCAAGAAGTGTTCCACAAATAGGCGAGTGAATTAGTGAGTGCCAAGCTGTCAGGGAATGGAGAAGCTGGGGGACCTGTGGCCACAAGGGAAGACTGCAGGCTCAGAGTTGCAGGGACCAGCCAGCCCACGTCCCATCTCTGGCCTTGACCAGCTCTGTGGCCTCACAGGTGATGCCTAGGCTGCTCTTCCTCGTCTCTAACATGGGAAAAGGGTGGTTGGACTTGCTCTGTTTGGCTGGAAACGTCTATAATCCGTGCTCTTCCAGGTCTGGATACTGCAGTAGGTAGCTCAGGGTGACCCATCAGAGCTATGTGAAGGCAGCTGAGCACATGGTCTTCTTTGGCACTTGCCACTTGAACCACGTATTTATGTTCGTGTTTATATACTTATAAATAAATTACATTTATATGTGGTGTGCAGGGGTGTGTGTATAAGGATGGCCATGGCAGAATAGTTTTATATAGTCATAAAATGGAAACAATCTACATGTCCAATAATAAGAGGTCGCTTACATAAAATATGGCCCGTCCACATGACAAAATGCCAAGCAGCCATTGAAAAATGGTGGATTGTCATGGAAACATAGCCAGGTTTATATTAAGTGAAAACGTGTACGTTATTTTTTTAAAGGGCATATAAAACAACCATCTTTTTATTTTTTTTAAGATTATTTATTTATTTATTTGACAGAGAGCGAGCTAGCGAGAGCAGGAACACAAGCAGGGGGGTCGGGAGAGGGGGAAGCAGGCCTCCCGCGGAGCAGGGAGCCCGATGCGGGGCTCGATCCCAGGACCCTGGGATCATGACCTGAGCTGAAGGCAGACACCTAACGACTGAGCCACCCAGGCGCCCCACAACCATTTTTTTAAATGCATATTTGTGTATATATGATACATACACATACAGTTTGTTTAATATATATTCTTTCTGATTATTAAAGTAATACTTAGGGGGCGCCTGGGTGGCTCAGTCATTAAGCGTCTGCCTTCGGCTCAGGTCATGGCCCCAGGGTCCTGGGATCGAGCCCCGCATCGGGCTCCCTGCTCCGTGGGGAGCCTGCTTCTCCCTCTCCCGCTCCCCCTGCTTGTGTTCCTGCTCTCGCTCTGTCAAATAAATAAATAAAATCTTCAAAAAAATAAAGTAATACTTAGTTTCGTAAAATATTATAATAATTGGCAATGAGACAAGGGAGAATTCCTTTGTAACCTGACCACCCTCATGTTAACCGTGGTGGTCTCCAGGCAGTAGGATTTTGCCTATATTGTCTGCATTTATTGAATTTATTTCAGTAAGCATGTAGTATCTTGACAATAAGAAAAAAAAAAGTAAGGGTATTGGTAAAAGTAAACAGTTTCATAAACTGGCTAGTTATTTCGCGGGGTGTGTGTCCTATCTCCACAACTAGGCTTCATGAAGAGATCAACGAAAGCATCGATTCCGTGAATGAGTGGGTTCTGAGAATCCTTGAGAAGTGGGACTGTGTGGTCTATGGTAGGGCCTCATAAAGGGATGGAGCCTGCGTCTCAGCTGTCTGAGAATGTGAACAGGGTCACCCCACCTTACAGAGGGAGGAGCAGGTCCCAGGCTGAATGAGCCCCTCACACCATCCTTCCACCAGCCCCCCAGAGTGGGGAACAGAGCCAGGAGGGCTCACGAGACTCACTTGTGGCCACTAAGCTGGAGGTGGGTGAGCCACGGTTTGAACCTGGGGCTGTCTCACGGCAGAGCCCGGTTGGACTTCATGGACCCCCTCAGCATAGAGCCCACTGTGGCCCTCAGAACCTGCTGGCAGCTCTGACCAGACCAAGATGCTGACACAGGCCTCAGGGCATTAATAGCCCCAGTCTGGGCTGGGCTCCTCTTCCCTTCCAGAGGTCAGCCGAGGTCAGGGGCCCCACCCAGGGAGCGTGAGATGAGTTCCCTGGTGGAGAACTGAGCGAGCACACCCAGGTCCCTGCTGTCCGAGGGACCTTTGTCTGGAGGCCCTTGTGTTCCTCCCCAGGGACTGCTTGGGAGTTGAACATCCACTCTTTTCTCTTTTAGGCTTGTTGGCTGGAGGCCTTCACACCTCTGAGCCTCAACGTCCTCATCTGTAAAATGGGGGTGGTATCACATCTTCACGGAAAGGTTGGTTGTAGGATGTGAATAAGTTAGAGCACATAGCTCAGTACACTGCCCACTATCCCCGCGTTCTGAGTCCATCTCCATCCGCGTGTGTCCAGGGTCTGGGAGGAGGCAGCATAAGCCATCATTTCTACCCAAGAGGCTGGGACATCCTCCTCTGTAGCTGTGTGGTCTGAATGGGGCCCTCTGGAAGAAGAATGCCGGGAAGTCTGGGCCTTGGTTTCTCCACCTGTAACGTGGGAATCATAGTGTCTACCTTTAAAAAGCTAGTGTGAGATCGAAGATGATGTTTGTTACACACCGAGCAGGGTCCCCGACACATAGTGAGCTTTTTCGCTCCATGGGTTAGGAACTGATCCTGTTCAGCAGAAAAGGCACAGTCCTCTCTCCCCTCCGGCTGCCCCCGTCAGAAGGACCCTCCCACCAGAGACTGGGCCCTTATGCCATACCTGTTGGTGCGAAGCCAGACTCCAGGAGCCCTGAATCCAGGGTTCCTTACAGACTTCCTGGCATTCTTCAAGTGACTTGTTCAAGACCCCACAGCTAGTTGGTGGCAGAGCCCAGATCATCCCCCATCTGTCAGAATCTGAACCCCACGGCTGGTGCCCTGTGGCCAGAGAGCACTCACCCCACCCCAGGCCGCTCACTGGTGCCTGGCAGGATGTGGGGTGGGCCCTGGGCTTCACGGGTGGGCTCCATGATTGGAAGGGAAGTCACAGCCTCCTGCCTCCTGCCTCCTGCCTCCAGCCCAGCTGGGCGGACAGGGCCTTGGCTGCCCTGAATTGTGAGACCAGGGCATTCGCTCCTGACTCTTCCGCTGACCCTATACCAGTGACTTTCCCTTGAACCCAGGCCCAGTCAGCCCTATGAGGGCTGTGGAGACTTCCGGTTCCTCTAGTCACCGGGGGTAGGAGGACAGAGAGGCCTGACTCAAACCCTAAATCCTTGACTGGGCCCTTTGGTCTGCTCTCTTTGGGCTCTCAGGCTCTCTTGTCCTTTTGTGCAGTACACCAGCCACACGGGCCTCCCGGGCCTCCTTGGGGTAGGCTCGCCCCTGCCTGGGGCCTCCCACCTGTTCTTCCAGGGGAAGCCCCCCCTCATGATTCCCAGGCCAAACCCAGGGCCGGGGTTCTGTGACCCTACCCCACATCTCTACACCTGCCATCATTTACATGTTGCAGGTTTAATCCCCACTGCCCTGAGCTTCCCGGGGACGGGGACAGACATTTCATTCGCTGCCCGTGCTGGGTGTCTGATGGCCGTGGGCCTGCCTGAGCTGCTGGAGTGCCCCTGTCGGAGACAGCCTCCAAGGGGCAGATCCATTACCAACAGATCAATTAGCTCTCCCGCTAATGGAAATCAAATCTTACGGATTGCCATTTGATTGGACTCTGATGCAGGGAAGTCAAATTCAAGACTGATTAAAACATAAAAATAAAACCCCAGCCTGCCAGCTTAATGAAATGCTCTCACAGAGGGGAGGTGCTGGGCCTGGCCCCAGCGGACCCAAGATGATGCTGTCAGTGACGTCTTTCATTCTGTCTGGTGCCCGGACGGGCCTTTGACCTGGCTCTGCCGCCCCGTCCGCGGGACCAGGGGGGCCGGCAGGGCTGGCTCACAGGGGTCTGCACTGCTCAGAGGGAACCTGGTAAAATTGCAGGGGTTGGTCCAGGGCCCACATGTGGGCCCAGCCGAGGTCAGAACAGCAGAAGGACTACATTTCCCAGAGTGCCCCGATCCCGGGGAGTGAGCCGTTGGAAGATTTAAATAGCCCAGGCCCGAGGCAGCCAGGGCAGCTGTGGACTCGCCCGCCTCCCCCTGGCTCCGTTGGCGCCGGCCCGCATCGGTGGGCTCGACTGGCTGCCCAGCTGGCACTGACGTCCCCTCGGAGCCCGGTGGCAGCCGAGGTAAACAGCCACGTGCAATCCTCCACTCTATATTTAACAGCTGCTGCGGAGAAGGCAGGGAGGCAGGGAGTGGTGGTGGCTCCCGGGGCAGCTCCTGTCTTCGGGGACAAGGCCTCGCAGCCGGGCTGGCACCGGCCCTCGCCGTGTGAGCGTCACCATGCCAGCCTCCCAGAGCCGCGCCCGGGCCCGGGACCGCAGCAATGTCCTCAACCGGGCTGAGTTCCTGTCCCTGAGCCAGCCCCCCAAGGGGGCCCCGGAGCCCCGCAGCTCAGGCAGGAAGGCCCCGGGCCCCTCGGCGCAGCCCCCGCCCCCTGGCGATGGGGCCCGCGAGCGGCGCCAGTCACAGCAGCTGCCCGAGGAGGACTGCATGCAGCTGAACCCCTCCTTCAAGGGCATCGCCTTCAACTCCCTGCTGGCCATTGACATCTGCATGTCCAAGCGGCTGGGGGTGTGTGCCGGCCGCGCCGCGTCCTGGGCCAGCGCCCGCTCCATGGTCAAGCTCATTGGCATCACGGGCCACGGCATCCCCTGGATCGGGGGTACCATCCTCTGCCTGGTGAAGAGCAGCACGCTGGCCGGCCAGGAGGTGCTCATGAACCTGCTCCTAGGTGAGTGTGCCTGCCATCCACCATCCCACCCTGCCAGGCCCTCCGGGAGGGAGCCCACGCCACCCCACCCCGGCCAGGAAGAGTGGGGCCCTCAGAAACCAACTGGAATGATCTAATGAGGTTAGGCAGGAAGGGTGCCCCAGAAACAAGCAAGCCTCCAGCTTGGGAAAGAGAGAACTGGGGATGTGCCACCAGGGGCCCCCTCCAAAGTGGGGGCCTCGAGGATGTGGAGGCCCTGTGGGGCCCTCCAAGGAAAGGCCCAGCTGTCGGCAGAGTGCACCACTGTGGCCTTGAGGGAGGCGGTCAGGAGTCTGGTAGGGATCCTGGTAAGTGTGCTAGAGCGGGGTAACTCCCATCCCATGGGTTGGGGCCCTTGAGTTCCTAGGCTGCTTGCAGACCGCGCCTGTGAGCTGCCCCGATGCCCGCTCTGCTTGGTTCAGGGACCCTGCCAGGTGCCTGGGCCTGGGGGTGCCGGAGGTCCAGTCTGTGGCTCCGCCCACTTGTGGCCACCAAGGGTCCTTACCTGCTGCTTCCCTGCTTCCCTCGGTGAGTCACTGGAGGAGCGGCAGGTGAGCTGGTCCTTGGTTTGTCTTACCATAGTCTCTGCCACCAGCGTCTCTCAGTTTAGCGCTGCCCTGTGGCGCCTGGCACAGGGGACCCATGTGGAAGGCAGGCCCTCCCCTCCACTCACGAGGTGACACCCGGCCGCCGTCCTGACCACTTCCAGGTGCCTCCAGATCCCTAAGGTGCTGGGGGAACCCCAAGCTTCCACCCTCCGTGCTGGGCCCTCCCAGCGTGGCCACCATTTTGGGCACAGGCAGCCGGAGGTCTCAGGCTCAGCACACACTGATGGGGGAACGCAGCTCCAGAAGGGATGTGGGCTGGGCCACTAAGAGCTGTGGTCCCAGAGGAAGGCAGGATAACCAGAGGGGCTGGGGCTGGACGCTCTGTGGGTGGGCCGCGCGGAGGAGGAATCGGTCAGATGCCTCCTACACCCTCCGTGTTCTCTTGTTCTCATTTTTAAATTGTTTACATTACTTGTTATTTCTCCCGAACAGATAGTCCCGCGTGCCTGGTGCTATTATCACTCCCACTTTACAGATTAGGAAATTGAGGTTCCTATAAATAAAGCAACCTGGCCAAGGCTTCAGAGCTGGAGATTGGCGCCGGGTCGGCCTGACACCCAGGCTTGTGCTCTTTCCAGGCGCAGTGCCGTGGGCTTGGGAGCGGGGGGGGGGGGCGGGGAGCGGGAGGGGGCACAGAGCAAGGTGGCTGAGGCGCCAGGCCAGGGGCTTCCACGGGCAGAACCCTACGCTCAATACCCAAGGTTTCCCCGGGACTGTTACAGCCCCAGACACAGCAGCAGTTCAAGGAAGCTGTGTTGGGAGTTAGGTTGTCTGGTGTCCAAGGACAGGGCTGAGAAGGCACCCTCAAGCCTCCCTCTCAACCCTGCCCCCTCGACCCTGCCCCCACGTCCCTCCCTGGATGACGCTGGAGGTGGTGACACCGTATTGGGAATGTGTTCAGTGTTTACTGTGTGCCCAGCATTGGTGTTCCCAGCGCACCGTCGCTGTAATCCTCACACAGCCCCGGGAAGGAGAGGCAGTGACTCTTCCCCTCGTACAGAGGAGGAAACTGAGGCACAGGGAAGCGGCTTGCCCACGGTCATGCAGCTAGTCAGAGATGGGGCAGGGGTGAGACCTGGGAGCAGCTCTAGCCTGTGGAGATGGCGTTTCTGGCTCGTTCCAGCAACCCGCCGCTGTGGGCACAAAGGTGTCTGCTTCAGAGGATGAAGACCAGGATTCGAGATGTCTCCCTTCTTGAATAAGAATTTATTGAGCTTTATCATGTACCAAATACTAAGCCATGAATGTCCTGTATTTCATAATTTTAAAAATATTTTTAATGACTTAATAGGATAAATATTAATATACCCACTTTACAGAGGAGTTAACTGAGGTTCAGAGGGGTCAAGGGACATGCCCACCGCACACAAGTGTTAGTGTTCGGCCCAGGAACCAAAGCCACATCCTCCAGACGGGGAAACCCCTCCCCTCCCCAATCACTGTTCGCCTGCAGCCTGGGCGTACCACCCAATCCATTCCAGAGGCGTGAACACAGCAAGGAGGTGAAGGGTCATATATGCAGTAAGGGAGCAAAGGGTCTGGCGGGCTGTTTTCCACCTCCCAGCCCCTCTAGTTACCGAGACCATGGAGAAATGAGGGCCCAACACAAAGCAGCCGCTCAGAGCCGGCAGAGTGCTCTGTGGGCTCGGCTCACTCTGGGGGATGCAGACCAAGCCTTTCAGTTCCATGGGAGAAAACTCCAGCAAGTAGCCAAGGTGGGTTCTAATCCCACAGCTCTGGCCCAGCCTGCCAAGGGGGCTGCTGGCGCCCTTCTCCACCTGGGAGAACAGCCCATCCACTGAGCACAAACTGCAGGGTTCTGTCCATCCTTCAGTCTTTGGGGGGCCAAGGGGGCAGCTTTCAATCCTAGAGCACAGGCTCCAAGGTCAGACTGGGCTCTGTCCAGTCCTTCTCTGACCCTTTCTCTCTCTTTCTTTTTTAAAGATTTTATTTATTTATTTGACAGAGAGAGACACAGCGAGAGAGGGAACACAAGCAGGGGGAGTGGGAGAGGGAGAAGCAGGCTTCCCGCCGAGCAGGGAGCCCGATGCGGGGCTCGATCCCAGGACCTTGGGATCATGACCTGAGCCGAAAGCAGATGCTTAATGACTGAGCCCCCCAGGTGCCCCTGACCCGTTCTCTTCCTGTGAACTTGGTCAAGCCGGATCCCATCCCTGAGCCTCAGTTTCCTGATCTGTACCTGGGGCTCCAGCAGTTTATGGGAAGCTGAGAAAGCACCGGGCACAGGGGGTGTCCGATGCCATTCCCAGTGGGGGTCCAATGCCACCCAGTACCCTAAGAGTGGAGGCCCCACCTGTACATTTGGGACCTGGGCTCTCTGCGGCCCCAGAGCAGAAAACTCAGGGGCCTTGGGAAATGGGAGTCTAGCCGCGGGGCCTGGGAGGAGTCCCAGCTGGGCCCAGAGGAAGTTCTCTGCACGGCCCCCCTGCTCCGCCTTCCCTCCCCCAGGGCATGCTGCCCAGACTGGAGAAAAAGCCCAAAGGGATCGGAGCCACTGGCAAGACCTTGGTCTCGAGAGTCGGCTGGACCTGGGTGCAAATCCTAGCCCTGCTGTGGGAACTCAGGCAAGGGACTTTCCTCTGTGAGCTTCATTTCCCTCGTCTGTCAAAGGGGTGGCTGGGACTGTTCACCAAAGAACACACATAAGAAACCTGGTGCGTCCCAGGGCCTGTGAGCTCTCCTGCAGTAGTGGTGATCACCATTCTCATCATCACTGGAATAAAAGCAGTCCCAGGTCCCCTGCAGGCTCTAGACGCCTGTGGATGCCACGTCCCCTCCCTTGTCCCTCCCCTGCCGCTCTCGGCTTGATGATCCCAAAGGGAGCCACCTGACAAGTGACCGAGGTGCATCCAGTTTCTTGGTGGGCCTGTGCTTGGTGGACAACGGCTCCCATGTCTTGTTGCCATGATCTCTTTATTGAGATTTTCCTGATTATGAAAACTATACATTCTTCTTGTTCTATATCATTTTTGTAATTTTTCACTTATTTGAGAGAGAGAGTGGGAGAGAGAGCGAGCACAGACAGGGGTAGGGGAAGAGGGAGAGGGAGAAACAGACGCCACGATGAGCAGGGAGCCCCATGCAGGGCTTGATCCCAGGACCGCAGGGTCACAAAGGGAGCCGAAGGCAGACGCTTAACCAAAGGAGCCACCCAGGCGCCCCGCTGTATCATTTTTTATTGTGAAAAAATCGACACGATACAAAACCTACCATTTTGACCACTTTTAAATCCACACTTCACAAACATTAAAAGCATTCACCATGTTATGACCACGCCCATCTCCAGAACTTTCTCGTCTTCCCAAACTGGAACTCAGCCCCCATAAAGACTAACTCCCCATTCTCCCCTCCCCCAGCCCCTGGTGCCCACCATTCCACTTCCTGTCTCTATGAACTTGACTTCTCTCAGGACCTCAGAAAAGTGGACTCACACGGTATTTGTCCTTCTGCAACTGGCTTATTTCACTTTGCCTAATGTCCTTGAGGTTCCTCCATGTTGTCGCAGGTGTCAGGATTTCCTTCCTCTTTAAGGCCGAATAATACTCCATGGTGTGGGTAGACCACACCTTGTCCATCCATTATCCATCAGTGGGCACCTGGGTTGCTTCCGCCTTTCGGCTGTTGTGAATAGTGCTGCTGGGAACGCGGGTGTGCATACATCTGTTCAAGTCCCTGCTTTCAGTGCTTTGGGATAAATACTCAGAAGTGGAATTGGCAGGTGAAATGGTAATTCTATGTTTAATTTTTTGCGGAACCCCCGTATTATTGCCCACGGCCGCTGCACCGTTTTCTGTTCCCACCAGTGATGCACAGGGGCTGCGCGATTTCTCCGTGTCCCTGCCAACACCTGCTGTTTTCTGGGTTTTGATGATAACCATCCTAGTGAGCGTGAAAAGTGGTATCTCGTGGTTTTGAGTTGCTTTTCCTTAATGGTTAGTGATGTTGAGCACCTTTTCATTGTATGTTCTTTTTTTAAAAGATTTTATTTATTTATTTATTTGAGAGAGAGAATGAGAGAGAGAGAGAGCATGAGAGGGGGGAGGGTCAGAGGGAGAAGTAGACTCCCCGCTGAGCAGGGAGCCCGATGCGGGACTCGATTCCGGGACTCCAGGATCATGACCTGAGCCGAAGGCAGTCGCTTAACCAACTGAGCCACCCAGGCGCCCTCATTGTATGTTCTTACAGTAAGGAAAACTCAAACATTACAAGGACAGATGACGAAAAAACCCTTGAACCCCCTTCCCAGGAGTGACATCCGCTGCATGGGCCTCTGGCCCCCTGTGACACCCTAACTCTGCACATGCTAACATAGCATCTGTTTCTCAAATGACCTCCTGGGGTGTTTTGCCCAGC